TGCCAAGCCAGTATAAGTTGTTGAAACATGAACTGTGGCACCTGCGGTAGAGGTCTTCTTAAGTAGCACAGAGTGGGATCTTGTGCTCGAAGCCACCCCTGCTCGAGTAGATGGAAGAGAAGCATCCGCGGGAGCAATAGAACTCTGAATGAGGGGGGGATCCTTTGAGGTGTTCTGGAAATAAACGAGGAGCAGTTAAGTATTAAGAAATGATGGAAATTGCAAACACGGTAAATTGCACTGACCTTAGGTTTCTTGGAGGAAGTGACCGCGGGGACAAAAGTACTAACGTCCCGATCGACTTTGCGCTTGTCTCGACGAGTTGTTGTAGCTCGGAGAGCTATCACGGGCGCTGCGGCACTCGATGAAACTAAGGGAAGCAAACCCGAGGTATTGCAAATCTTCCCGCGAGCCGCTATCGACGTGTTCTTGAAGGGACGGAATAAGGCATCACTTTTCAACAAGGAACGAGCAGGGACATGAACTGGAGTGCTAACCACAAATTGCTTAAAAGAATTGATCACTTCCTTCCAATATGTTCTTGTTTGCGCTCCCCATTGTCCACTCGTGAGGTCGAGGGAACATAAAGAATCTGGCGATCTCTCAAGAACTCGGCCTCCTCAGAATCAATGAAGCGTAGAAATCCCAAGGCATAGGTACTATGGTCTTGGCGCGTACCATATCCATAGTCTCGAGCAAGCCCTTGATCCAATCCAAACTGTCGAGCCACCCTATGGGGATTGTAAACTTTACCCACACCTGAGTTAGGAGGAAGAAGGGCAGGAAGGTAACCCGTAGTGTACATAGCAATCATTGTCAAGGCTGAGGTACGTCTCAGAGACTTGCCTGAGATAACTATGCCATCCTTTGAGGCACAACACTCCAGCCGCGGCCAGTAAGTATAAGGACAAGCTAGAAAACAACTCTCCCTGTCAATATACTCCGCCAGTTTTTTTTTTGTGGAATGTTTATGCCATTGAAAAGATCGCTTCAAACCTTTGCCCCAAGGAAGCGCTATCGGTGAGGACCATATCGGGGAAAATGCTCATATAAGAACATTTGAAGGAAGATTGTGTTGATAGGAAAAACCACGCTCATACGCCCAACGGAGCGTTCCATTCGGGCATGTGCCAAGTTGAGCTCATGATAGAGTATACCAAGAAATAGCGCGGCTAAAGGAAAGCTGTTGCCGCAGGATAACCTAACAGCCAAAGGAATAAGATCCGGACACAGTCCATCATCAGGAGGACCTGGAAAAATGAACCTCGATAGCCAAGATAGAAGAAAAGCGGCGAGGCGAGCTGAGTCTTTGCATTTAGGACCATTGAAGGAGGCCTCTCCTTCTTGGTCCTGAGGAGGAAAGTCCCGAAAATAGTAACGGAGGAGCGACATGAAAGTGCATTTCTTTCCAGTCTCTAGAAACTCCTCGCAAAGACCGTCATCCTGATAGCGTGAAGCGATCTTTCCGGCCGCGGTGACACCGCTGCGAAGCTTGGCAACGAGTTTGACCTCGTCTTCAGAAAGCACCCAGGAGCCAGGGTTGTGCTCGCCAAACACATTCAAACACATAAGTTGTACTACATCCTCTATCATAGGGGTAAACTAGCCCCATGAGGTAACAAAAGTATGGGTATCGCGACTCCACCGAGATACGAGAAGGGCGAGATCATGCACGTCTCGTGGGATGGTTAGCTCGCGGGTGTTCCGGACCGCGTCTGCAATCCTTGAAGCCTTCAGAGTCTCAAGAAACTCAGCATCAGATAATATGGCATCCGTCCACAGATCCCAGCCTCGGCCATGACCGGTCTGACTGGTAAAAGCGAGACTAGAATGGGGAAAGTCACCGCGTTCGACTCTGAATCGCAGTACCGAACTAGGAAGGATGGGTACTCCTGCCTGTGCATAAGACTTACCCTCAAATAGGAATGTGCCTACTGGGGTCTCATCCACCTCGCTAAGCTCATCGCTATTTGCCCAAAAGGTATCGTTTGGGCCAAAATAGGGAATAACTCGCCATTCAGCCAAGGGAGGGACGTTAGGGACATCGTCGCGCAAGGCCATCACTGATATCCTACCTCGAGTAAAAGTGGGGGAGGGTGAGATTTCTAAGAAGTCAAATTTAATTTGCACGATCTCACAAGAAAAAAAACAAGTGTGGGCTTAAATAGTAAGGGTCAACACCCCAAGCGTCGCACTTCTGACAAACGAAAGGATAGAGGCTCGGCATTCGAAGCGTCGCAACTCGGCGCACCGGTAAAAAAGCGACACGTGGCCTAGGAAGCCAAAGCAACATGACTCTTCAAGGTAATGTGACTCATCGAGACTGAAAATATGTGACTCTTTAATACCAGCAATAATGACGGCAAAGCTGAACCAAGTTAATAATTTGCTCGAGCTCCCCCTTGGCGACCTCGAGCAGGGGGGCAAAATGTTGATGATCGCGCCACAATAGCTGATTAAGTGGCGCCACCTCTGCAATATAGGCATAACTGGCCAGCGCTGACCTGGCGTGCCCATAATGGATTAGGTATTCTTGAGCTACCTATCCGATAACTAAACTCACTGGCCGAGGAAGGGGTCGCTACCCTTCCTCCATTATGGACGCGCCCCGCTCCAGTCGGATGGGCTCTTCCCCCCTTAGCTCGTTCAAGGACGCTCTCTGAAAGAACGACCTCGACTAACCTGTTTACACACCTCTCCTCGACAAAGAGGACCTCAGAATAAAATTGGGATAGGACCTTGCGAGGTCATGAAGGCAGGACCTCGAAAGGGACCTATCCCCACTGAAGCACGGGAATCTGAGGACATGTGGATAAGTGGATGAGATCCAAGGGGTCGCCTCAGCCCGAGGCCAATACATGGGGGAAAGGATACTTGGTACCTAAGCTCGAGCAATGAAGGATAAGAAACACATTAATTGTGAAAGACGTTTGATAAGACCCATATTAATTAAGGAGTGCCATTACCTCCTTTAACCGGGGGGCAAAGCGCCGCGGCCCATCCATCAATGTCTCATTCGTCAGAAGAAGAGACCATCAAACCTTTAGATAAGAATGGGCTCAGTTAAAGGACCAAAAGACATTGACCGAGGAGGAAAACACTATAAATTGGGGTGTTAATCAGCCTTTAAAACACATAACTACCACATTAACAGCTATTCCCTGACAAGCTCGAGCTCACGCGGTACCCAAAGTCGGCCTACCCATTCTTAATCTCTGAACTTAGAGAATCCCTTGTGTTGCTTGGATCTCCACTTAGATATTGATCTCAGCATTCTTGGCCTACATGGAACAGTTTCCTCATCCTACTCACGAACTACCATCAACAGATGCTATGTGGGTCATTTACGTCTTGATTGGGTTCTTTGATTGAAGAAGATATATGAAGATGGGGTAGTTGAGAGAGAAAGTGAGTATAGGGTTTTTGGGGAACAAATTCGGAAATTAAAAGTAAATTTGAAGAGTATAAGAAGGTTTGTTAAAGGTTCTTGGTTTAGTTCTGGTTTGAAGATTTGAATCAAAATCGTAAGAAGAGTGTCGAAAATTTTCAAGTAAAGAGAGTGAAAGATTTTAGGTCAATGTTTTTTTCATAAAAATAGTTGATATTGATGGTGGTGGTGGTTGAGGTGGCGGTGGTTCGCCGGTTGGGGTGGTTGAGGTGTGGCGGTGCTGGGGATGGTTAGCCGGAATGTCTGGTCAGAGAAGAAGGATTTGGCCGTGGGTGGTGGTGTCTGGTTGAGGTGTGGCGGTTGTGTGTATAAAAGAGAAGCAATGTTAGTTTAGTAAATTCCATGAAGTATTTAAGGGTAATTTGGTTTCCATGTATGCATGATTCGTAAAAATTGACAGATTTGTTCGTAATTACTTTTACCTAAAATATTTTTTGAAAGGTTTATTTTTAAGTGTTTACATTTTAGTAAATCTTTGTAAAGTGCTTTATTTTTGAGTGTTTACATTTTAGTAAATAAGGCTTCTAAGGCTTCGTTTGGTTAGATAGAAATAAGCAAGAAAAGAAAAGAAATGGAAAATGAAAGAAAAGTGAATGAATGAAAAAAAAAATTATTTTCTATCAAGCATTTAGTTAGCATGAAAATTTATTTAAGAAAATTGTATAAAAATATTAATTTGTTATTTTGGATAGCATGAAAATGAAAAGAAAGTGATTGTGCATACCAAAATTACCCTTATGATTTCAAATACTAAAAAAATAAATAAATTTGCGTTTGATGATGTCTATTTTTATTAAAGTTTTTAATAAAATGATGAATTATTAAATTTAATAATATAATTATTTATATTCATTTATATTATTTAAATTAAAACAATACTTTAGGACTTCTTAGGTGGAATCATAGAAGTAGAACTAACTATTTATTTAAGAGAAATAAGGAAGCTTAAAAATAAAAATAAAAAATTTTGAAAATTTTGGGCTCATGAGCTTTCAACCAGAGAGCACAAAAAGAGCCAAATATAAATTATTCTTTATATATATAATAGAGGCGTGTATATATATATATATATATATATCAGATACAATGTATATATTTGGAACAAAAAAAAAAAAAAAAAAATCCTCCAAATAATATTGCAAGAGAATATGTTTAGAGAAAACTTGCCTTCTAGAAGTCCACTAAAATAAAAATGGTTAGAGAACTTGCTTCTTTGAAACTCAGTTAGAAAATAAAGAAGTTAGTTATTTTACATAATTCAGTTGTTAGATAAAATTTGAACTTCAAATAAAAAGAAGCATTTTCACGTCGTATTTTGTGTGAGAAAAGTTTTGAGGAAAACTAGTCTAATGCGGAAATTATATTTTCTATTACGGTTCAAATTTCTATATATCCAAAACTCTAAATTTTTTTTTTTTTTTTTTCTAATTGGTTCCATCCAATCAAACAAAACCTAAGGGTTTTATATTAAATTAATCCCTTATATACATTATTTATGTATATAAATATATTACTAAAATTTATTGAAACCCATTTTCTATAAATTATGTTGTAAAAAGCTGTCCGTATTTGTGCGAACTGTACGGGTGCACAAGAGGATCAAACAGAACAATCTCGTCGGGAGCGAGAAGGAACAGCTCCTCCCTCCCTCCCTCCTATTGACTCCATTGCCCTTCCATGGAAGCATCGCACTTTCTCTCTCATACATTCCACACAATCCCTTAACCCTAATCCTCTTTGCCCTCCCGAGGTCAATGGAATGAAAATGGACTCCATGATCGAGACTCTGCCTCCAGTATCGTCTCTCTCTCCCTCAATCCTCACCTTTCTTAACGACAAGCTCCACTCTGGAGATAATCTTCACGAAGCTCCAAGCCTTGTATTGGAGTTGCAGGCTCGGTGTCTCGATTTAGACCAAAACCTCACTGATCTGAACCGACGGCTCGAAACGAGTCTCGTCGCTTACGATTCGTATTCTGATCGAATTGGTGGCTTCTTTGGCGATATCAATGCCAAATTAAGCGATCTCCAATCATCAACTAGTTGTTCCGGTTCTTTATCAGGTTCAATATATATAAATTTATACAAATACATATATGCACCTACACTTGTATGTATTGATATTTATATTCTACTATGTGGAATTAAATTTCAGATGGAAGAAGCGGAAAGGGTTCCGGAAGATCGGAGCAGATATTGGATGAGGAGCTACTTTCCCTTGTGAAAGAAGTGGCGAGGATTGAGACGGTTCGAATGTATGCAGGTGAGTTTTTGGTGTTCTTTTTAAGTTTGTGAGATGATAGTAATTGATTAACAACTTGTAGCTCTGGAATTAATAACAAAATTGAATATGATAATTTGATGGTTAGGGATGTAATGTAAAATTCTTTGATGGGTCATAAGCTCTTGAGGTGGTTTTTGCATTCATTATGTGGTTGGTAGGAGATATGATGAGATATGGAAATGTGTTAAGAGGAAGAAACTATGATATATGATCGCTTATCTCGGTGTTGAGCAAACTCTTAATATTTATAAACTTAACAAAATGAAATATGATTGGCAATGTAACATAGTGATGCAACCAAACATCTCACTGTCAAGTTTCCTAATACAACTACGTAGAGTTGTGTGAGTGAGGGTCGAACACAAGGACTATGGGCTTGAATTAAACTTAATAGCAATGAGATTTTAAAAAAAAAAAAAAAAAAAAAAAAAAAAAAAAAAAAAAAACTTAATAGCAATGAGCATTTGATTGTTTAAATGATGGTTTGGTTGAGTTGATTAATCCTAGAATTAAGCTAAGTGTAATAATAGCTAGAGATGTACAAGAGTTAAGTAAAATGGAATCAAAAGAGAGAAAGACTTAGGGTGTGGATTTCACCGCTAAGCTCATGTAACTACACAAATGACTTCAATTCATGGGAATATTGCATTGCATAAATAGAGACAAGGCTACAAGCACACATCATCAATAAAGAATAATGCTACACATGCATTCACTAAGTATGAATTATCAACCTCAAGAATGAACTATCCACCTAACTACTCAACATTGTGGTATAATCCATCAAGAATGAGCATAATCCATCAAATCAAATATCAAGTGTATCCAAATGAGCACAAATGCAAGGCCATCCTTAAACACAATTACAAAAAGCATTCAAGGTTGGGATCAATAATAATCCATCCAAATATAAGACAATATGAAGATGATTTAAAATTGATATAGAGATAAAGCATAACATTGTTGGGTACAGCCAACAAAGAAATCCCTAGGCCTAGCAATTATACAATTACAATTTCCCAATTATGAAGTTAAGAGTTATAGTTACACAAAATTAGGGTTCATCCAAACCCTAAGTGGAGAGTTTAGCCGGCCATGGAGAGAAGGAAGACAATTTTCTAGGTGTGCCCATCCAACCCTAAGCTTAGCTCTATCTCTGCCTCCTCCTCCTTCTTGAAACCCTAGAGAGAGAGAGAGAAAGTGTAGAGAGTCTCCTATTTGATCCTCCAAGTATCTTTCTGAAATTGAGGCTAAACAAACTATTTATAGTTGACTCCAATTGTCCAAAATAGGCTAGACCCCGTACTCCAATGTCAGCTATATCGTGCACCGCGGCTTGGCCTTCAAGAGGGCTGAATCTGATGTTTTTAAGACATTCTTGGCCCGCTCGATCGATCGAGTAAAAACTCGATCCATTGAGGCTCGATCGATCGAGTGTATCACTTTTGCAACTTCTTTCCCTTTTTGCCCCTTTCTCTCGCCAAGACTTCGTAAAAGCTGTAATACACTGGAATAAACTTTGAGTAGTCCTAAGTACCTGGAATCGGACATAAAACAAATTATTACTAAGACGGAGAAAGAAAGATAAATCAAGGTTCTAATATACCCACGGTTAAGGGTTGATATCAATATAACAATTAGAAAAGAATATTGCCAAAGTTTTAACATTTTTTACTGATCATAATTCATAAGTAGCATTAGACACATTGTAGGAAACACTTCTATAAATGCTAGATCATGAAAATGATTTTCGTTAAAATCTAATTCTACAGGTGATCCATACAATTTTATTGTGATTTGTGCCTTCTGCAAAATCACAGTAAATAAATTGAAAATAGGGAATGGAGGGGGAAGTGAAGCATCGAACTTCATGGGATGTTTGAACCTTCTATGAGAAAAACCCCAATACTTTGAAACTATCTTGTTCCTCGTTTAAAACCATATGACATCTACAAACACACACATACACATATATACATGCATAATAACTAAATATAACTCCATAAACTGCTAACAACTTCTTACTCTCATCCTAAACAAAGCCAAAAGTATTCTATAATATTAATGTTTGTCCTGAAGAAAACGAAGAATTTATAATAGGATAAGTACACATCATGTAGCCTGTATCATATTAGCATTGCATAATGGAAGAACGTCTGTGATTGTTCTTAGTCATATATTTAATCAATTTTCTTATATAGATTATTTATTTGCTTTAATGCTTTTGAGTTTTATTTAATATTTTAAGAATGTATAGTATTGGAACAATTCTTTAAAATCCAGAAATACCATTGTTTCTTGTGGCATAATGTTATAGGCAGTTAACAGTTTGTTGATAGCAATGTTTTTACATCTCATTTTGGGATGTGCCATTTTCTACGAATTGGTTGGACTGGGCAACTCCATTCAACTCTTATATGCAAACAATTCGATAACAGAACTTTGTAATAACTTAATTTCAATGAAATTTGTCAAATCTGTCATGATCTTCCAAACTAAAATCCAGAAATGCCATTGTTTCTGGTGGCATAATGTTATAGGCAGTTAACAGTTTGTTGATAGTAATGTTTTTACGTCTCATTTTGGGATGTGCCATTTTCTACGAATTGGTTGGACTGGGCAACTCTAGTCAACTCTTATATGCAAATAATTCGATAACAGAACTTTGTAATAACTTAATTTCAATGAAATTTGTCAAATCTGTCACGATCTTCCAAACTAATACAGGATGCTGAATCTCTTGTGGTTTTGGAGATCAAGCTTCTGGATCTTTATGATAGTCTCTTTGCCATGAGTCACTTGCTACCCAGCCATTGAATGGTTGCACTAGGTTGACATCCTTGATTGCATCTCTCACTTGCAAACAGAAGTCGAGGGCTTTAGAGCATAACGAGGGGGACAGGAATACAATGTTTTTCCATCAGCTCGCAAATGCTTACCGAATGGGTAATCACATCAGAAGAATTCCTATTAATGGCATTGAGCTAAGTAAGGAGGAAATAAAGTGAAGGATCTCTACATTCTACTGGTAGTTGTACACGGAGCAACATAGTTGGAGAGGCCTTTTGGGGCAGAGGAGGTGAAGGTGACATTGAAGAGTTGTAATGGAAATAAGGCACCGGGCCTGGATGGTTCCAGTATGGCATTCTTTCAACAGAATTGGGAGGCGGCAAAGGAAGAGGTGACGGGATCGCTCAATGCTTTCCATATGCATGGCCACTTTGAGAGGAGTATCAGTGCCTCTTTCTATGTAATCCCTGAAAAGGGCAGGGCTATGGAAGTCAACGATTTTAGACCTATTAGTTTGGAGCATCTACATATCCATAGCTAAATTCCTTGCATTATGGTCGAGTAGAGTGATTGATGGCGTGATATCAGACTCGGTAGATTTTGGACTCATTGTTGATAACTAGTGAGTGTGTGGAGTCCTTGATCCGAAGTGGAATTCCGGGGATTGTCTGCAAGCTGGATATAGAGAAGGCTTGTGACGATATTAACCTGAGGTTCTTGGTGGATATGCTAGAGAGGATGGGATTTGGTGAGAAATGGAGGTCTTGGATTCTTTTTTGCATTTCCACAGTGAAATTCTCAGCCCTAGTGAATGGATCTCCCACAGACTCTTTTTCAAGTTTCAGAGGGTTGAGATAGGAGGATCCTTTATCCCTGTTCCTCTTTATCATTGTGATGGAGGCACTTAGTAGATTGATGAGGACGATGGAGGATCAATGGTGACGCACCTTCTTTTCGCCAATAATACCATTGTTTTATGTGAATTCGAGGATTAGTTGCACTACCTAAAATGTGTTTTGGTTCAAGCTGTGCTAGGTTTGAAGGTTAACATTGGGAAAAGTGAGATGGCATTAGTAAGGGAGGTCGGTGAGATCAATCATTTGGTGGAGGTGGAGGTCTAGGGAGGTGCGATCTTGGAGGGTGGGAGGTTGAAATTCATTTATAAGGGGTGGAATGATTTTTCAAAACATATTCGAGTCAAGGTGAGAAGTGGGAGACTAGTTCGATTTTGGCTCGATGCTTGGTATGGTGATCGGCCATTAGCTTGCAGCTTCCCAAGACTCTTTAGGACAAACAATGGCTCCTCAGGGTCTAGTTGACGACTATAATTAAGCTTGATAGCGAGATGGTGACTTGGGATGTCTGACTTGGTAGGTGTAACGGGTGGGCGCTTGCCCATTTACCCAAAAGCTAAAGGCATTGGGTAGTGCTGCATACCCACCCATTTATACCCAATCATTTTCCCATTCAGATCTGATGTGGGATATGACTCTTGTTACATTCTCCCCCACCCAAACTTGCAACGCCCTTGTTGCGACTCGGACCACCCTACCTACCCGACTGCAAATCCAGATGCCCTCCGAGTCGAACGCTTGGTGTGACATCGGATTAAGGATTGGATTGGGCTCTGATATCAACTGTAACGGGTGTGTGCTTGCCCATTTACCAAAAAACTCAAGCTGTTGGGTAGTGCTGCATACCCACCCATTTATACCCAATCACTTTCCCATCCGGATCCGATATGGGACAAATGACCCTTGTTACAGTAGGCATCTTCAAAATTGGGTGTTGGCGGATATTGTTAATCTCTTGGTTCTGTTTTATAGCGAAATGTGGATGGGTGAGGGAGTGGATTTGGATGGGTTCCCGGAAGGGTTGGTTCTGGATGTAAATATTCTATTGGGGTTTGTTGTTGGCTTATAGGTCTTCCTTTCCTTGGAAGGCAATTTGGAGAACAAGAACCCTGAGGATTTTGATGATCGATAACCTTAGGAGGAGGCGGTAGATTATAGTGAACTGGTTTTGTATGCGTAAGAGGAATGAGGAGTTGGTGAATCATTGTTTGTAAACTATAGCTTCAAAACTCGGTAGACTACCTCAGCCTTGACAGGACCAAGATCTCGGCTAGAACAAAAATCATTGGTGTCTCGGTCTAACATCACCGATATGCTCGAGTCCTTACCTTACTC